CCGTATGAGTCTGGGTCCCCAGAGACTTGCCCGGAAGTGGAGTTCAGAGCAGTCGGGAGCTTGAGACACCCTCCCGATTGAAAAAGATAACCATGTCCTCAGTTGCCAGCCCTTTCCACGTGCTCCTCCGTACCTCTGCACTTTACTTCCCCACCTCCTCTGAGTCTCAGTGTGCTTTTCTCTTTCTTTCTAGTTGTAGAATTTCCACTCAGCCAGCCCTCCTGTGGTTCTGGATGATGTCCGTTTTGTCTTTTAGTTGTATTTTTGAATTTGTGTGTTTTGTTTGTTTTTATCAATGTCATTCAAGTCAAAGTTCAGCCGTTTAAATGCTAGCATTTTAACAAAAATAGTTCAAACACTTTCACAAAAAGGTTCAAAAGTATTGTGATTTTTTTTTTCTTTCATATGCTTTCTTTCCAAGATGGGCTCTTTGGTCAGCAAGTCCTTTCAATGGGATTTTAGCTAGTTATTCTTGAAACCTGGCCTTTTTATTTCCCCTCTTTCACCACTTCTAACAATGAGTATATTTTAATGACCCTTTTAAAACTTAATCTCACCTTCAGCTGATGTGTTCTGTAGTCACAAGCCCTGCTCCTTGGCCTCTGGCCATTCTGTGGATGCTTTGCATTACTTAACCTCCACCCCAAGATGAGGTCCAGCTCTGACCTTGGATCTGGTACTACATTCCCTGATGGAGCAGAAAAGAGTCTTGATTTTCAATAAGTAACCAGAATGTTTACTGGAGTGACCATCTACTGGTTCTGCGGAAGGTTAGCCTAGAGGTAAATCATTTGAGTTCATGTTTTATGTCAATTGCTGCAGGCAAAATTAGGGAATTTTTTTTTATTTGTTTTTAGGCGCTCATAAACAGTTCTTTACAATGCAAATGCTGGCTATAACTCCAACATATTTTCCTACTTTTGCAATTGAGCATGTTCACTATTTTACACAGGAAGCTATCATTATTAATTAAATGTATAACAATGTGTATAATTTTTCCAATGTGCTAGTTGTACAGAGGGCTATTGATTCCCAGAGTAAAACAACCCCAATTCAGCCTCTCTCACCTCTGGTACAATATTTTAAATGAAAGCTAAAGAATTGACAGTAGTAAAGGAGGAAAAAATAAAATAAGGTGAGATTAATTATCTATAGTAGTTCTCTGAAGAATATATCCCCTACATTGCAAGTTATGAAAGTTTTAAGTAAATAAGTTACCATCCTGTATGTGCAACTCATACAAGAAAATAATGAGGTAATAAAATGCAACATAAGAGAGAAGCTATAATCTTGAAAATTGTTTACAGTATTTGGCATAACAATAGGCATTAAAAAGCTTTGGAGAATTGATGGCATGTCTCTAGCATTAATCAAAGGAGAGAGACATTGTATTTAGCAAATCAGAGAATTTTAGCAACTAGAAAGATGTCCTTTTCTCACACAGGATCACTTATCTTGATTCTTTACTGTGCTGGGTACTACAAGTTTCTCTGTGTAGGTCCACCTTGGGCTGAGAAGTAGCCTTGGGCAGAAAGAGTACCAAAGTCTTTATTGAGAGATACCAAGTATATATAGCATTGGACCCGAAAGGTGATGTGAGGGCAGAAATAGAACATTTGAAACTGGGGTGGAGCCAGTGGTCCAGAACCAACTTCATGTGTTGAGTAGCCATGGACTACCCTTCATATGCAATACCCTTCATATGCATATGAAGCTCAAAAAAATGGGTGTTCTCCACCTCCATTTCTTTTTACTTCATTCTAAAAAAATCAGTCTTCATATCAATATGATAAAGCCATATTTGACCAGAATAATGAATAAAAATGGTTAATTTAATGACTTTGTAGTAATTCTGATAAGATATAGTATGTTGTATATCTTTTAACCTAATCTTCACAAATCAGAATCACTAGGATAAATGTTAATGTTTAATAATAAAGAATAGAGCATAGAAAAGTGAAATTATGGTAAGATTTAAGATCAGATTGAGCTGGATTTGAATCATGAGTTAACTTAGATAAGTTTTTTAACCTTTAGGCTTTGAGACCTCAGTTAATAATTGAATACTGATCTCTTAGGACAATTTGTGAAGATTAAGTTAAACATACTAAGAATTTTCTTCTTCCATCATGTTGACATACCCTTAGTGCATACTGGGGGTATATAGAGTTTACACTCTGGAATGGTAAATTTTTTTATCAACTTGACTAGATCATGGGACACCAAGATATTTAGATATTTCTGAGTGTGTTTGTGAGGGTGTTTCTGGAGAGATTAGTATTTGACTCTGTAGACTGAGTAAAGCTGATTGCCCTCACCAATGTAGATGGGCATGATCCAATCTGTCAAGGGTCTGAATAGAACAAAACAAAAAATGAAAAAATAGAACTCACTCTCAGCTTGATGCCATCTCCTCTCTGGGTTCTCAAGCCTTTTGACTCCAACTAGAACTATACTACTGGCTTTCCTGAGCCTCAAGCTCACAAGATAGCAGCTCATAACCATGTGAGCCAATTCCTTATTATCAATACACTAGTGGCCCGGTGCACAGATTTGTGCACACTGAAAGGAAATTAATTAGAAGAAATATTTTAATATCGTTATTTGCCCTTTCTCTATAATAGAAGTGTCAGAGATGAAAAAAATTAATAAAATGTATATGAAAATAATATGTAAATTGATTAATAAATAAACAATAACAACATGATATAATGACAACAAAGACATGATATAAAAACAATAAAAATATGATATGAAAACAACAAAAACATGATATAAAAACAACATTGATAAAAAACAAATAACTGATAAATTGATTAAACTTATTCTAATATCTCCCAGTATACCACGTTAAGAGTAAAAACACTCTTAAAACATTCTGTGGATGACACCAGCTTCTTTTGGCTTCAGAGGTACATTGTGCCAATAGTTGGTCTTCAGACATATTCTGTCGATGAGACCACTTTCTTTCAGCTTCAGAATGTCAACAAAAACAACCAAATTCACCATCAACAATGACAGATTGAAACACACGTGTGCGATTGGCGCCAGCGAGAGCTTTATATGTATCGCACATGCACAAGTCAACATTTATTTTTTAATTGCCAGTGCACGTCATATGTACTGGCCAGTTGGACAGTCGGACGGATGGACAGTTGGTCACTTAGCCTTTTATATACAGAGAGATATAAACATAGTTGACAGTTCACCCTTGAACAACACAGGGGGTTAGGGTGCAGTCAATATCTGCATATAATTTAAGTTGGCCCTCCACATATGCGGATTCCCAAACTTGGACCGAAAATGCCTTTTAAAAAAATATATTTTTATTGATTTCAGAGAGGAAAAGAGAGGGAGAAATAGAAACATCAACAATGAGAGAGAATCACTGATCAGCTGCCTCCTGCATGCCCCCCACTGGGGATTGAGCCCGAGCCCACAGCCAGGGTATGTGACCTGACTGGGAATTGAACCATGACTTTCTGGTTCATAGGTTGATGCTCAACCACTGAGCAACACTGGCTGTGTGAAAATATTGTTTTTGATGTGTAGTTGGTTGAATCTGTGGTTGCAAAATCCAGGGATATGGAGGGCCCACTGTATATTTACTGAAAAAAAAAATCCACATATAAGTGGACCCACGCAGTTCAAATTTATGGTGTTTAAAGGTCAACTATACATGTATTGGTTCTTTTCTCTGAAGAACCCTAATACACCCCTTCTTCTACCAAATAGACTTTGAGTTCAAATGTCTACTTTTCCTATATTTCTTTAAGACGTCAGTTATCTCTTCTTCTTTCTATCAATATAACTGACTGTAGATTCTTCTCTGATCAAAAGACCTCCATAGATAGAATTGGGAACATGTATTTTTCACTACACACAGCTCTTTTTACTTACTTCCCATGTCTAGGCTTTATTCTGAATAAATAATTATTGGAATTGAGTTTTTAGATACATTCATATCTAAAGAACAACCCAACAGAAAAGGCACATAACTGTCTTTCCTCCTTCTTGTTCAACTTTCAGCCCTCACATAGTACCACATATTTACCCTTCTAAATCAGTTTCCTGTGATTTAAATTAGCATAAATCAGTTCCTCAGGGCCTAACCACCCCTAAGTTTTTGGAAACTGCAAAACTCTACACCAAGCCACAAACTATGAAGATTTCTTCAAGGGGTTGCATCCAGTGTGACCCAACCTAAAACATTCAGTGGGTTTCATATTATAAAAATCATAACACAAGTTTTTGTGAATAAGTGATCTCAAGTTATTTTCTATATAGAAGATATTCTAAGAGTCAAGTTTTCACATGCAAAGATTCAGCCTATATATTTATATTTCTTAATATGTTGCATACAAGGGATTTAATCAAAATATAAAGACTTTCCTGACCAACATCAAAGTAATTATATCCAAATTGAATTCATTAGAAATATGATGGAATTGTCCACTCTGAAGCTCTTTTTAAATAGATCTAATTAAAAGTATTTATACACAGTACTTTTTAAAGCCAGATATTGTTGATCGGTAAAAAACTCTTCTAGTCAGATGATTCTCTGAAAATCCAGACTAGTGTGTTATTTTCATACATTTTGATAGTGTTATTTCTTGGCTTTTATAGAAGAAAAAAATTAAAGGAAATTGGCCTTTAGCCTAAGAGAAGAAACAAGATTTTATTCTTATTGTGGTTAAAGAAGTTGTTCCTATTGTGGTGGGGTGGATGGGAGAGAGGGAACAAGCTAAATATTCTAGGTTACCTACTATGGACTGAACGTTTGTGTCTTCACTCCCACCCCCACCCCCAATTCATATCTTGAAATCCTAACCCCCAATGTGTTGGTATTGGTATTAGGAGATGGGCCTTTGGGGGGTAATTAGGTCACAGGGGAAGAGCCTACATGAATGGGATTAGAGCCCTTACAAGAAGGCAGAGAAGAGTTTGCTTTGTACCATGTGAGGAATCAGAAAGATAGCCATCTGCAAGCCAGGAAGAGAGCCTTCATCAGCCCCTGGGTCCACCAGCACCTTAAGCTTGGACTCCCAGCCTTCAGAACTGTGAGAAATAAATGTTTGTTATTTAAGACACTCAGTCTTTTATTTTCAGTTATAACAACCTGAACTAAGACACTATCCATGGATTTATTGTAGTTGTTGTTTTCTTGTACCCTAACTTTGCAAAGGGGGCATGTAGTAATGGGTTCTCAGACTAGAAGACTATTCAAATTTATAGAAAATCATTAAAATTTTGCTAGCAGCAGTGCATAATTATGCGAATGTGTACGGGCTTTTACACATATAGCTTTGTCATTAATACTGTTAACTAGAATCTTATTTAATTCTTAAAATGGAAATGTCAATTATGACTTTGTTTTTGGCTTATATTTCTTTAAAGCCATTTCACCTTTTAGTGCATCTCACATCAACATATCAATCTCTTTTTTAGGTATACCAACAATACTATGAAATAAATGTATGCTACTCATATGTAGAACCACAACCCACAATGAAACTTTTACAGTGACATTCCTTAAAAATACACTGTTTGCTCAGAATGACCTTTGAACAAAGTCCTTTTAATGGCTGCATCATTCTGGAAACCAATAAGAATTAATTTCTAAATACTACAAATGGAATAAGAGGAGAGCTATGAGAGACTATGGTTCCAAATTAATTCCTTGCTTTAAATTTGCTTTTTAATTTATTTTCCAGATTTCTTTCTTCTTTCATCCCATTATAATGATGCTTTGTTTTAGATTGCTCATTTTCTCGTGTGAAGTGAAGATGTAAAATACATCTTAGGGTTAAAAAACCTGGGCTCAAACCATGGGTGTCCCACTCTCTGTCTTACTTTGAGTTGAATTATTTTACCTACTCCTGTCCAGATTTTTCATCTCTAAATTAGAGAAAATGGTGATGCCCATCTCACAGTTATTACAAAGATTAAATTAAATGGTCCACATAAAAATTCTGTAAAATCTAAGGCATTGTATAAATGCTAAAATATTTTGAGGTTTTACTACACTTATTACTTAAAATATTAATATTTTAAAAGCAATGTATAGTATCACAGTGAACTATGAGATTCAGAACTACTTGGCATAGTTATTAGAGTAAAATAAAGAATCCGCTTGCAAACTGAGTTGCTATTCATCTCATGTCAGCATCAATGTTTCCCCCACCTGGGTTTCAGCATATTACAAAGCATAGTAAAATGTTCAGTACATCCTGTTGGAATCAACTCCCCATGCGTTATTTAATAAATTCCCTTCTTTTTACTCAACTTCAGTTCTTTTCAGTCTTCCTGTACCATTCTTCTTGTTTCACATTATGTAGGTTATTTTTGCACACACACATGTACACACACACACACACACACATATCCTAAGGACTAAGAAAAATGCCCATAGCACTTTCCATCTAAGAAATGCATAGGCCTTCTGTAAAGATAGTAATGGTCATCATACAGTATTGTCTACTTTGAATGTTTTCTCATCATTTTATCATGCATGTCTGCCTAGTTTAAAATCACAGGGTAGGAACTCTAATTCTATTTATAAATCAAGGACCGAGCATTGTTGTTCAATAAATGTCAAGAAGCAACAGCATCCATGTGAGCTGAATAGGTGGAAATTACTTCTGTCTATTGCAAGTTGAAAATAAAATAGGTACTTTACAATATTCAAAGCATTCTAATATTGATTATCTCATTTGTCCATCACAGTGACTCTACGGAGAAGCTACAGAGCCTCCTTGTATGGAAGCAGACAGTGAGGCTAGAGGTTAAATGCCTGTCCCAGGCCCCTCTGCAAGCCAGCAGCACAGCCAGAGAGGAATCTGCACCAGCAGAATCTCTGCCTCATGCTCTTCTCAAATGACGCCACAGGAGCGTCATAGCAATAACCAAGGTGGTTCTGTGAACATGTCAAGAAGCATGTCTAACCCTAACCGGTTTGGCTCAGTGGATAGAGCGTCAGCCTGCAGACTCAAGGGTCCCGGGTTCGATTCCGGTCAAGGGCACATCCCCAGTAGGGGGTATGTAGGAGGCAGCTGATTGATGTTTCTCTCTCATTGATGTTTCTAACTCTCTATCCCTCTCCCTTCCTCTCTGTAAAAAAATCAATAAAATATATTTTTTTAAAAAAGCATGTCTACTTTCTTTCCTTTGTGTTTCAGCACTTAGCTCTGACTTGGCCCACAGAAGTGCTTCATAAATAGTTGTTTAATTAATTAATTAATTAATTAACTAATTGTATGGATATCTTATCAACAGGACTCAAGAATCCATGGCAAGTCCTGATATTCTTGTCATGTAGGCTGCTGCTCAACCCATGAAAACCACTCTATCTTGATAATTTTTTATTTCATTTAGTAAAACTTGTGATGCCAGTTTTCAATATCACTTTCCAGTCATATCTTTCTTCCAAGAAGTTGCTACCTCTGTTCCATAGCTCATTGCCAATTCTCTATGAAGCTCAACTATAACCTGCAAAATGTAGTAAGTGGAAGAGCCTTACAAAGTTCAAGCTTAACCTTTCATTTCACTAAGAAAATGTGTGATGTGTTTACTGCTAAAATCTTCTGGGTTTCCCAGAATGCAGATACTAATATCAGGACACACATGACTTGCAACTGAGAGCCTGCTATTAATGTTCTCTCGTTCGTGCTAATGGCATACGAGTTTGGAGATATTTGTGTGCTATATTGAGCTTTGAAACATCTTGGGCACACAAGCTGGATTGTGCAATAAGAGAGCTGGGGAATAGTAGAGAGTAATGAAGGGAAGGGTGTGTATTTCTCAGTGGCTACTTTCCTTAGGTGTGGCAGGAAACAAGCAGTATTCTTATTAGCTAGACGAGATTTGAGCTGAAAGTATCTAAATATCAACCAGTATCAAAATATCAACCAGTCCCATTTAAAGTAAAGCATAGAAAAATTCTTTTAGGTGTTACTCAAGTAGGGGAGTTTGTTTTTATTAATATGCGTGAACAAATGAATGGCCTAGATTTAGAAGCAACATAATGCCTGGCCCTTTGATGTTCTACAATATATTTCATTGTACTTAAGAATATTTTCTACAATATTATTTTTGTTAAAATGTAGATGCTTTTTAAAGACATTCTATTCATTCTCTAATAATTATGTTTAAAAATAATTATCAATAGCTAATTTTTATTGTTGCAAATCCAGATTTTTATATAAATCTGAAGTTGTTTAAGGGCTCACCTATGCGCTGAGTTAATTTTTATTCAGATATTGGGCATCTCCTACATTTCAGGCATTGTGATAGAATATACCAATCACTTCCTGTGGGGCATGCATTATTCACCTCACTTTTTATACATGACAAAGCCTGCTCCAGAAAGGTAAGTAAGTTCCCAAGGTAAGAAAACTAATAAATGCTAGTATCTATCTAGGAATCCAGACCTGTCTTTCTCCAAGACCCATGCTTATTCCAATATATCATGTGGCCTCTCAAATTTTAAAACCATCAAGTTTTATATAGATATATGTACTTGCAAACTTACATGCACACAAGCAGAGTAGGATTCTTTCCTTTTCAAAAATAGCCATGAAGTGTGTCACCCAAGAACCACCCTCTCACAATCTGGGACCCCTCAGGATGTTGGAGAGCCGGTTTCAGCTGATCCCCGCAGGCCAGGCCTAGGGACCCTGCTCATTCTGCAGATGCCCTTTGAATCAGTGCTGCCCCAGGTGCGGCCTCTGGGGAGGGACCGTGGGATGTTGGCTCCAGGGTATGTCCGGCCCATCTCGCCCAGTCCCACCCCACCGGCCACCTTCTAATTAATTTTTTTTTCAATATGCACGAATCCATTCACCGGGGCACTAGTCTACACTAATAAAAGAGAAAAATGGTAATTGGCATACGACGCTACCCTTTTCATTGGCTAATCAGGGCTATATGCAAATTAACTGCCAACTAAGATGGCAGTTAACTGCCAACAAAAATGGCAGTAAATTGCATATGTAGGCACAATGCAGGGAGGCCAAAGGGAAAGCAGGAAGAAGCCCACTGCCACTGACAGTGATCGGAAACCCAGCGGGGAGCTAAGAGCTGGGGGGCAGCCATGATCAGAGAATCAGGAGCCATTGCTGCCCTGGCCAGTGATAGCAGGAAGTAGGGGTGGAGCCAGCGATGGGAGCTGGGCACGGTCGAAGCTGGCAGTCCCAGGAGCTAGGGGTCCCTTGCCTGGGCCTAAAGCGAAGCCCAAGATCGTGGGGCCGCTGCAGCTGCGGGTCCCCACTTCCCTGGCCGGACA